ATTCAGCTCGCCATCCGAATCCAGATAAAATGTTGATTGAGTCTGAAATGAAACACTGCGCCCAATCAATTGCGTATAAGATCAGCCAACAACTTTCACTTGAATCTGGCCGAAATAGCGGAATTGTTTCTACACAAAAAATAGCAACGCGCAACAGACTAGCCGGTGCGATCATCCGTTTTGCACAATTCAGCCCATCGAACGATTGTCTATTAATGATTTTCACTGCTTTGTAATTTAGTCTATGCTGAATTTGAATGGGCAAGGTTGAGCGTGGGCAGGGGATCATTACCTTAAAATTTCAACCTTCTAAACTCCGTGGTTCCCGAGATATTAATTTACCCGTAAAAAAATTTCATACGTGTTACCCGCGGGTACGGGGAAACTGAATTTAAATTTGCGGGATCACACGTGGGTGGGGAACGTTCCCTTAAGTTTTCAGCTTCCTAGTTTTTGTGGTTCCCGAGTTGAAAGTTGCGGACAAGTTGCCGCGGACACACACGCACACACACAGAGACAACCCCGTGATAATATGCGTTTTGTACTGCTGTTACACAGCGCAAAACGCAAAACAGAACTAGACTCACAGCATCGAGGATTTCATCTTCCAGTGATTTTTGATCGGGAGGCCCAGCAACCACCACCACCTCATCAGCCGAATCCACCTTCTTCAAACTAGCATTGTCTGATGAGCCTTCTCTCTGGCCCGACAGTGAATGCGACGAAAGAGACACTATTTCCTGCAGCAGAAAAGGATACTGAAATAAGAAAAAGAAAATCGAAGAGGGAATCCCAAAAAAAAAAAAAAAAAGAACTAAGAAATTAGTAAAAATAGTAAAATTATTTTAATAAAAATTTTTATAATGGCAAGAAATATTTCGGCCCATTAAGTTGTATACATTTCTCACCATTACCACAACTGGACCTCGTCAGTACGACGACTGTGATAACCGTATCACCAAAACAACATTTTAAGTATCAAAATTATTCGTTTGTCCAGGCTCGAGTACCGAAAGAGAGATTACTGCACGCATGTGCAAAGGGAAAGCTTACAACTTTCAATAAGTCATCAACATTTTCCTTCTCATAGTGTCGACGGCGATTGCTCTGAAGCTGCTGAAGCCATTGCAGTCGTGTCCTGTTGTCGGCTGTTTCCAGCACATGAACCTCATCGCTGACACTGCAAAACCGAGCGGTACAAAAAAAAATTTTCTTATATCCTCATACCTTGCCATTTTACTCATACCACTGAGTAATGGCATTTTGCTACACCAAATTTGTTTCAAATCCATCACATTTTAACCTACTGAACAAACAGGTAAAACAAGAAAGTGAGAAATTCTGACTTTTATTCAACAATTCCGAAACATAACATGAACAACGATAAGTACTAAACAGCCTTAAACCAAACAATCTTTTTTTACACACCCCTAGCCCCAATTCCCATTTTTATCGACCCTTTTCCATCTCCCCACACAACCCTCAACCTCTCCACAGCTACAGTTGCAGCTTTATATCCTGGTGCATCTTTATATCGGGACGGAAAAAAATGAAATACACATAGAGCCCGGCAATAACTTTCTTGCATTTACAATAATGCAAAATATGCACAAAAAAATGGCCCGATTGGAAGGAGCACTACAATTTGTCAAAAGTCAGGCGACCAATCCCTCTACGATTCGTTCATTCGTTTCGATGATAAACTGATACTGATATATGCCAAGGTCAAATCCGCTACTGGCTTGCTTTAAAACAATCCTCGAGAAAGGACGTCATGGGCGGCTTTGCTAGCCAACAATTGCTGCAGGCAT